CTGGGTAACTAGTTGTTTCTCAGTTAGTGTGGATGTAGGCCTTCTGTCTATCCATAGTTCCATCATACGTTTCATATATCCCCTCTCATTAGGTCTGCTGTTGTAGACATTCCATCAATTCCAAGTTCTCTTGTCTCGTCCATGTATGGTTTGTTCCAGTACCCCACTTATCGTCAGATTGTCCTGGTTCCCCAACATCTGACACAGACCTTGTTAATCCGGGCAACGTGCGAGCCGGCAGGACTCTCTTAGTTCATGTCACTCTCATATTTGAGGTAGGCAGGTTAAGCATTAGGGGGTCTTTGCCCAAGGATCCCTACTGGTAAGGTAGGTACCAGCCGGGATTTGAATCCCAGTCTCCTGCATCAAAGGCAGTGTTCTAACTATTACACTATCCAGCTGCTGTTATATATATATATATAAAAGGCAAAATACAGTGGTACCTTGGGTCACGGACTTAATTCGTTCCGTGACTCTGGTCGCGACCCGAATTGGTTGTGACCCGAATCAAATTTTCCCATAAGGTTCAATGTAAATACGGTTAATCCGTTCTGACCCCTCCGAATTTGGTCGCCAACTGATTTTGGTCACGTCCCGAATCAAATTTTCCCATAAGGTTCAATGTAAATACGGTTAATCCGTTCTGACCCCTCCGAATTTGGTCGCCAACCGATTTTGGTCACGTCCCGAATCAAATTTTCCCATAAGGTTCAATGTAAATACGGTTAATCCGTTCTGACCCCTCCGAATTTGGTCGCCAACTGATTTTGGTCACGTCCCGAATCAAATTTTCCCATAAGGTTCAATGTAATTATGGTTAATCCGTTCTGAACCATATGTATTTTTTTTTTAAACCACAAAAATATGACACAAAGTACAGTATGAAGAGAACGTTAACCTTGCTCGACCCGACTTCTGGCGTGGAGGACAGGAAGGCGGGTGGGGAGGCGGTTATTGCTTGGAGGGAGAGTCCCCCTCCCTACAGGAAGCCACAACCACGTGTCACAGCAGGGAAAATGGGATCCTGTTCGTCACCCGATGCGGAGTTCGTGGACGGAAGCAAAATTTTGCGAACGGTGCTGTTTGTGACCCGAATTGGTCGTGAACAGAAGTGTTCATGACCCGAGATACCACTGTATATATTTTGCCTTTTTTATATATATATTTATATATTTATTTATTTGACATCCCTACCACATTCTCTTAGGAACTATAAAACTGTACCTTTGGTGTACTTTTTATATGCATAAGTTCATATCATTCAAGTTCATTCCCTAGTACCTCCAGGAAGGGATGCGAAAGACTGTTGCCCGGAACCTCCTAGAATTACTGTCACACAGTAGAGACAGCCCTGAGACTAGCCAATGGTGTGACATCACAGAAGGAGTAATTGTGCACAAAAACATAGATATATACTGTATGTATGTGTGTGTGTGTGTGTGTGTGTGTGTGTGTATTTTTGGAGCATGTGATCACTTATGTAGTTCTTGAAAGAATCAGGATAACCCACTGATTAGACCTGGTTCAGTATTTAAGAGAAATGCAGTCTATTTCCAAAACTGATTCTAAAATGTTATGTTGGAGTTGGGAAAATAACCACTTCAGAGTGTAAGAGTTGGTCCTGTATCAGGTAAGTAATTGTTAGCTATTAACTACACAACTGAATTAAAAGACGTATTAGGGAACTATGCTCTGCCATTACCTAAGGCTCCATGACACTTTCATTTCTCATCTCGATTCCTTTCTATTCCTATTGCAAAGTTTGAGTTTGTTTGTAACTTACTCTTTTCAGAGGATAGGGAAAAAGGGTTATCCATAAATTTTAAACTGAAAATTTAGATAGTAGATCAAAATAACAGAGTATATATATAAAAAAATAAAATAAAATGTGAGTGCACAGTAACACATACTCTCACTTTTACTGCTTGTAACTGAATGCTTCTAGAAGTAATTACTGAAAGACCAGAGATAAGAATTGGAACAGAATAAAAGAATAACATAGAGAGCAAGAACTTTCCAATACTACCTTCTGTCCTGTACCTGCACAATATAAGAATACCAGTACTCTTATTATTTGCAATATTTCCATTATTCACATGAAAATATTGTAGCTACAGTAAACTTATAGTTTATATTATAGTCCCTTTCTAGATAGAATAAATGCATTTTAGCTTTATCACAATGAAAACAGGTATTCCGAGTATAATGTAATATATAATACACAAATTGTCTCTGCATTAAAAGAGCTAATCAGTAGAAAGCACAGCTAATCCACCACTGAGTAAGTAGTTTTAAGCAAACAAAAACTTACAGATCAGATTTGTCTAAGACTGTGTTGTACAACATATTCATGGTAATTGTTTGACTCTCTAGCTTAATGTCAGCAGAATTTTTTGTTTAACCAAACTTGCTACTTTATTTTCATTGCTACGTCTTGAATTTTCAGACCTTAGAAGTGGCATTTTAAAATGCTTTCCAAAAAATATCAGCATTGTTAAACAATTCAATATATTTGAAAATTCAGTCCTATATATATGAAATTTGTGTAGGACTGGCCAATCAACATTAGCAATATATTATTTGATTTCTACTGTCACCATATCAAGTGACATTTTTCCTCAATTCCTACTCACAAAAAAAATCATTAATAATGTTGTAGGTGGAGCAGTATTGGGGATGCCTACCATAGCAGTGAAAACTGGAATCTAGCAGTGCTGGAACTTGAACTCCCAGGCCAGGCTGACTCAAATTGTGGGACTGGCACTTCTAACTCACCTACAAGTTGTCAGGTTTGGGAAGACTGATCTAAGGAACACTGCAGCAACTATACCTTGTCTTGACCAGCCTTTGTTATCCGTGGTATGTCAAACAGCTGTCCCGTGTAGTACTGCACCCCACTGAAAAGAATTACAGCAACTGAGTCTCCTTCCTTCTCAATTATATCAAGGATATCTTCAGTTCTCAAGGTTTCCTCCCCCTGAAATAAAGTTAGAACATATTTTATATCAGCCCTGGCAGTAATGGAACTGTCATTTTTATTTCATAATGTATTTTTTTACGATGTGACTTGCTGACTGTAGGAAGCAATCAAAAACAAATCCTTAAAATTGCAGTGATCTACAAAACTAGGAGCCCTGGAGTAACTTTTAAATAGGTAAATAATCATTGCTTTAAGCTTTTGAATTAAAAAAAAAAAATTGTTCACTTTGCTTCCTTATAGACTTTGCTTTCCTGAATACTTCAAGATGGACTTAATTGGTTGGATTAAAAAAAAAATCTAATGAAAAGAGATGGACAAGCTTATACTGTAGCTCCTAAAGCTTTTCATGGAGAATGAGTTTCATCAGTGAGAATTATTCATTAGAATTACAAGGAATTTCTGCATTCAGTCAGATACACCACTAGAAGAATATTAGCAGAAGAGGACTATACCTTTAAGTGTCTACTGTGAGCTCACTGCAGTCCACTGAGAGTTACAGGACTATATGGACCTTTATTCTGATCCAACAGAGTTATTTTTTGAGGTTATATATGCCCTTATGGCTTTGTGTGGGGGTGTGTCTAAAGAAATATTGTTTGAGAAGTAATGCAGCATAGTATCTGAAAAAATAAGCTCCATTGAAGGAAGGAAAATCTCTCTCTCTCTCTCTCTCTGGAGCAGCAACTTAATGATGCTGGAAGTTGCCAGCCAGAAATGGTCGAGCCCAGCTTCATGCGGCAGAGTGAGCTCCTGTCTCATCCCTAGCTTCTGTCAACCCAGCAACTCGAAAGCAACCGTGAGTAGATAAATGGGTATTCTCACCCCAGTGGAAGGAAAAATGCTGGTGGCACCTTGTACAGGAGACGGGACCAGTTGCCGGTAATGCGTACATCCAAAAAAGATGTGAAGCAACAGAAACCCCACCTTCCTGCACCCACCAGCTGGGCTCCACTCTAGGAAGGAGGCAATGGCAAACCACTTCCGAAAACAGCTTGCCATGAAAACTGCAGGGACTCGTCCAGGCAGTCGCTGCAGATTCGGTCACGATTGAGTGCAGATTAAAAAAAAAAAAAAAACCTCTCCCCCTCTCCCTTTCTATTTATCTATCTCTCTATCTATCTATCTATCTATCTA